ATGTGTTTTCTTTATTTACAGAATATTGCTGCAAGTCCAAAGATTTCCTTCCGAGGAAATGAAGGGGTAAGTGTTATTTATGTTTGTGGCGTTTGGTGATGGTTAGGTTAGGTTGTTTTTATCATCTTGTTCACTTCCTCTCCTCTCCCCCCTTTCTCTCCCTTACCCCCATCTCTTACCTCCACTCTTCACCCCCTTCACATCCCCACCCCCTTTACCTCCACTCCTCCCCCCCCCTTATTTTACCTCCGTGTGCCATCATTGTTTACAGGAATCTTGGCGTTTACCTGACCACACCTGCAACACCCTAAACATACCTGCCCTGGTTGGCACGAGAGGCAACTGCATAGTGGGGGGGTGTAGGAGGAGGAGGAGGTGGGGGTGTGGATGGTATGGTGTGGATGGAGTGTGGGACAGGAGATGTGGTGTAGGACGAGATGTGGTGTAGGTGGAGGAAGGTGTGGCTCTAGGGAGATGAGGGTGTGAGGAGCTAGACAGGGGCTTGACTACGAACACACCAACAAGATAGCAGGTTGAAGCGACTGGCGATAGTGTGTGGGAGGAGACATGCAAGTTGCGGGTGGTGGGGGAGGAGAGCAGTGAAAGTGTTGCAGGTGTGGGGGGTGTAGGAGGAGGAAGGGTGGTGAAAGAGTGCAAGTTGGTGAGTGGACGGAGGGCGGGCAGGCTAAAGGTGAGCCAGGGATTGTGGCGGTGTGTAAAGTGGTGTGGGAGATGGGGTGGTACAGTCTGGTGGGGAGTAGGGGAGTTGAGTGTGTGTTGTGATGTTGCTCAGAGGGAGGAGGATGAGATGTCTGGGAGGAGGGTTGCGTGGCCCCCCTCTAGTTAACCACCCCCTCTAGTTAACCACCCCCCTCTAGTTAACCACCCCCCTCTAGTTAACCACCCCCCTCTGTTAACACCCCCTCTACCACCCCTCTAGTTAGCCACCCCCCTCTAGTGCTTCACCTGATGATTAAACACCCTAACACTACCTAGGGAGGATTAGGTTAGGCTATATTAAGTAAAGTTCGTGGGGAGGGGCTAATCTTGACATGATCCATCAGGTTAATGCACTAAGGTCTTCATATTCGTAGGTGAGGTTAGGTTAGGTGAGGTTAGGTGAGGTTAGGTTAGGTTAGGTGAGGTGAGGTGAGGTGAGGTGAGGTGAGGTTCTAGCGTCTTGCTGACTTGAGTGTGAGAGTCAGTTAGGTGTCGTCTCCATCTGGTGTTATGGCGGGGAAAAACTTTATTCCCATTAAACTCTCCCAACATTGCCAGATATGATCCCCATAAACTTTACTCTCACGTTTGATGTAAACTTGCCAGCTTTACAGTTAAGCTTTTACAGGCTCATGAAGTTTGGGCAGCTGGGGGGCACGTACAATAGTTCATGTATCATAGTGTTGGCTGTAACGCTGACTACGGTATCCTGACTGGTAGTCAGTTTGTATTGATATCTGAATGTGATGTGCCACTTCGTTCAGCCATTTCAATATTTTTGTTTGTATTCTGGTTAAATAAACTGATTCAATATCAGTTATCAGCTGTGGGCGAGCGTTGTACCGGATACTGTGACGTCACGCTGACGGTAGACTTAACACCGGAGGATCAGTTGGTTGTGTCGTGGCACTACGAGAGAGAGAGGCGGTCTGTATTATGTAACCCTGAAAAGGAGAGAAAGAGTAATTAGAGAAGGAGGAAAAGAGATAGAGAGTACAGCTGCGTTATGTGCCACGACACTACATATTTTGGGTACTTTGACCTGTGTCGCGTTGTACCTGACACAAGGGGCGGGGGAGGGGTGGTAGGGAGGTAGTTCTTTGATATGTGGGCTGAAGAAGTGGGATTATAACCAGGGAGAATTGATTAGCAAGTCACTTAGTGATGATGATGATGATGATGGTGATGATAATGATATTAATAACTTAACCTAACCTAACCCACTGATCTTACAACCCACCTTGAGAGAGAGAGAGAGAGAGAGAGAGAGAGAGAGAGAGAGAGAGAGCCGTTTGTCACTGTGTAACCCTGAAATATCCTGTTCCCCCTGGAGGTCAAGAGAGAGATTTCATTGACAGTGTTTGGTGAGTTCTTCCGGCCTGGCGTGCAGTGTAGCTGGTAATTATTTGGTCCTAATGACAGTGATTATGATGAATTGTGTCTTATTACTTACTAAGAGTTGGGTACAGATGGGTCCTTGAAAACAAGATGCGTGGCAGTGGGGCTTTTTTGGTGTGTGTGTGTGTGTAGGCTACCATCATTTCCACACACACACACCATCCTCGACACCGGCTCTTACTACCACCTGAGATCCCTCGCCCGAGAATTGTTGTTCGACACCACAACCGCATCCAGCCCATACGAGCACGAACTGATAGCTATAAGAACAGCCCAGTCCCAATCAATGTAAAAATTATCAATTTTTTTATGTACTTTCAGCCTTGTGGCTGCCATGCTCTTTCAATAAACCGTTAATTATTATTATTATTATTATTACACATACTTGAATATATATTATAAACAAAGTAAGACTCACGCACAGTAAAATACGAGGAAATACCGCCAGGGATCATGGCCAAATGCTAAAATTCTAAATCCGCAGTGAAATACATGTGTTTTGTGTGTGTGTGGGCGAACGGGCGACCTGTGATGTAGTGGTCAGCATCTCGTCTCGTAAGCGATTGGACCCGGGTTCGATCCCCGGGCAGGGTGAAACTATGGGCAAGTTTCTTTACGCCATTTGCATGTTGCCCAGCAGTAATTGGGGACCTGGATGTTAATCGATTTGCGGATCGTGTTGCGGGGTAATGGTTAACCAGTGCAGTTGGCCTTGGACTATTCCTTGACTCTGGCTCATGCAGCTCGTTAACTCAGGGTGTGGTTGTTGTGTTGGCGACAGCTTCTACACCTTAAACAAATTCACGCCCAGGTGGCCCTTGGGCCGACCATCCTTGTTACACGAGAGGCAACCATTATACAGTATAATATATATATATATATATATATATATATATATATATATATATATATATATATATGTATGTATATATATATATATGTGTGTGTGTGTGTGTGTGTGTGTGTGTGTGTGTGTGTAGGGGCAGTGATGGCAGGTCTCCCCCTATACACACACGGAGGCAAGCAGTCAGGAGGACCAGTGAGCGGAACCTCCACCTTCACCAAGCGGATCGTCCACACGTTCATCGTTTACCTACTTGTGGCGGAGGTGTTCCTCAAGGTGACCCACTCCTCCTCCTGCAGTACAACTCTCACGTTCAGCTGTTGCTCCTCTCCTCCTATCCCACCTTGTTAATGCTTGAATGATACTCTCTTGTGTCGTGTCGATTTAACCGAGTTGGCGCTTAGGGTTAAGTGTGTGTGTGTGTGTGTATGGTTGCATGTGTCGACAATGTGTGGGTGCTGTGTGTATTGTGTGGGTGTACGTGTAGGTAGTGTGGTTTTGTGGAGCTCTCTTGACTTGAGTGGCGGTGCGGCTGTGTGATGCATGGTAATGGTGGTGGCCTGTGTAGTGCTGTGGCTGCGTGGGTTCATAATATTAAACTGGGATTTATTGAAGCAGTTCTGGTAGCGTCACGCCTTTTTTAGTCTGGGATGTTGTAACAGGGTAGGTTGTGACGGTGTGGGTGTATGTTGTTGTGTGTGAGCGTGTAGGTTTGTGGTTCTGAAGGCATAGTGTAAATGAGCAAGATAGTTTTGTATGGGCTGGAGTCTGCCGAGTGTTTTCCGTGTGGTGTATTTCTGTCGTGTTTAAAAATAGCTTTGAGGAGGCGGAGGTAGTAGTGGTGGCGAGTTTAGTGACGTCACGGGATTGGGTGACGTCAGTGAAGGGGCGGGGAAGCCCTGACGGTCTTCGGGGTACTGGGAAATAACAGATAACGCTGTGTGTGTGTGTTGACTTGTTACACACGCTCGTCTAGGTGATGTTATCAGGCCCCTCACATGAACAATATACTGTACCTCCTGATGGCAGATGACACCAATTGGTCGTGTTTACCGCCCTGTGCTCTTTTCTAATCACGCACACACACACTGACCAACAACACCTGTGTCCCTGTAAACTAAAATCTACAGTTTGTATATTTTTTTTATGTGTTTACACCTCTATAATCCACCATCGCTACCCAATGATTCTCACTTAAGGTGTTGAGGTATTTGGCATTAGTTTGGGTGATGTGAAATATTGATTATGTTTCATGTAGACTCTGGTGACTTGAGATCCCAGCAGCTGTTTCTCGTGTGTGTGTGTGTGTGTGTGTGTGTGTGTGTGTGTGTGTGTGTGTGTGTGTGTGTGTGTGTGTGTGTGTGTGTGTGTGTGTGTGTGTGTGTGTGTGTGTGTGTGTGTGTGTGTGTGTGTGTGTTTTGAAAATTTAATGTCATTTTTATGCCGTGTTAAATCTATCTATCTCTCTCTCGGGCAATATAATAAAGAGTTTAACACGTACCCATATTTCCTCCTTCCCACAATTCTGTTAAATCTCATACAATCTTTTTATATGTATGTTCTTTTTATATACCCCTGCAGCTTGTTGAGAGAGAGAGAGAGAGAGAGAGAGAGAGAGACGATGAGGAGTAGGCAGAAATGAGAAGAAGGAGGAGGAGGCAGAAGCGAGGAAGAGGGGGAGGAGGGGGTTGAATTCTGGAAGGTTCCCGTAGAAGCAAGGTTTCCGTCGGGGTGTTATAAGGCGGGAAATCCTTCAACTTGTACAGTATATAGCCGCTGTTGAGACCTAAGGGTAATATCAGCGTCACTCGTGTCCGAACCCCCCTCTCTTCCCCCGAATATTCTCTTACGTCATCAGAGGTGTTCTTATTCGGATTATTCGGATACGGGAGCCAGCGCGCGTTCGGTTGCAGTTGGGTCTGGGGTGCTGTTTGTACGCCATATTGTCGATAGTCACTCAGTCCTTGTGTTGTGTCTTAAGGTGTAGTAGATATTTTTTTCAGCGTATTCTCCCCCCCTCCACCACCCCACCCCCCCACCACCCCAAAACACCCCACCCACCCAAACACCCACCCACCCAAACACCCACCACCCAAGCACCCAC